ACACACACACACACACACACACATGCTCACACACACACACACACACACACACACACACACACACACGCTCGCTCACACGCACACACTCTCTCACACACACTCTCTCACTCACACGCTCACACGCTCACACACACACACACACACACTCAAAACCACAGAGCAGAGATGAGAGAGACAGAAAGCAAGAGAAGAGGAAGAGAAGAGCACATGATGTGTCTTCATCAGGGTCTTTGGCTTTTATTCAGTTGAAAAAAACATACAGTGCTATACAGTTAGAAGCAGCGATGCATTACGTGAGACTTGCTTTTAGAGAATATACCTTGAAATAAGTTTTTAATTCAGTTTTTTCACCCCATCAGTAAATTGTGTGTTTGTTTATTGTCAGCTGTACATTTGAAATAAAAAATATTTGCCACTAGACATATTCAACAAACAAAAACCGGCTTTTTTCATACAGTTTTGCTTCCCATCAGTAAATTATTTTGTTTCTAAATTTTGCTAGATTTACACACCAGTCAAATGATCTTAATTCAGCATCAATTCTCTGAAAACAAGGATTATTAGCTTGAGCAGTTTTCCTTCTCAGGGGAATTGATGTTGTTGTATGGATGTTTCCAACACAAGACTCATCCAGACACATTGATCTCGGTGTCAGTCTCCGCTCCAGCACACATGCAGCTGATCTCTGTTCATCATGCTTGTGTGACCCGCAGTGACCCATCTGATGGCCGCTGCTCTCCTCAAATAAACCCGCAGGGTGTCGAGAGGATGATTTGCTGTAGTGCTGCTCTCAGAGAGTCGGCCGTGTTTAGCTCTTCCGCAGCCGTCTGTCTGCTTCCAGACGCACACATATTCAGAGCTTTGATATTAGTTTGCAAAAGTTGTTTTTGCCTTTAATGATGAGGAACATAAAAATAATTGAGTTCTGCAAAAAAAAAAGTGAGTGCACAGAAAAGAATGCAGCAGATTACAGACACTGTCTGTAAAGATAGATCGCTTACTGCTTTCACTGGCGGATCTGAGCAAGTCAGACAATACTGACAACATTGTGTCTAAAATGTAACAGTATTAACTTCTTGTTTATTGAACTGTTGTATAAATCAATATTCACATTTGCAGTCGTGGTTTTGGGGAAAAGCAGCACTCTTGCTGTGTGATATTGCTAAACTATATCATATGATATAAATAAGAGGGTGTTTAACCTCATTTAACTGCATTCTAATAGACTCCATCACACAGTCAGTCAGTCATTCTCATCGTGATCAGCAGCAGGTCTGGACGGGGCGCTGCGTCAATGTAACATGTTATTATTCTATAATTAATTGCAACACATTATATTATTTATACACATATATATAAACACACATTGTTTTATTTCACCAAAATAGATGTACAGTATTCAGGATAGGATGTATACAAATGGTGGACACACACACACACACACACACATATATATATATGTGCAACAGAGATAAAAATATAGAAAATTGTCAATTTCCGAAGCACAACAGAAAGAGAGATGATTTGTTTCACACTGAAAGAGAATGAAAGAGAGATATGGAGCATTTTATGAGTTTTCTCTAAACACTGAAACACTGATCAATCAATCTGTCAGTGGCATTTTTCACTCTGTCCTTCTTAAAGAAAGAAACTCTTTGTCATTTAAACGCATCTGTGTGTGTGTGTGTGTGTGTGTGTCTGAGAGTGTGAGTGTGTGAGTGTGAGTGTGTGTGTGAATGATGAATGAAACAGTGATCGGAAAATCTCTGTCTTCACTTATTATTTGGTCAGACTGACAAACGTTCTGGCATTTAAAAAACAAAACTGGATTAAAAATAAGGACGTCAGTAAGTTCATTTGAACACAGTTTGATGGTGTTGCATGTCAGATTGTTATTTATTGTTGCAGGAGCACAAGTATAGAGTGAAAGCTGTGCTCGTGTGCTTCAGTTGAGCATGACATGATCACTGCAGTAATGATTTTGCTGTAATTAACAGCCATAGATCCGATATCACTCACAATAATGACACAGCCGTCATCCAATCACATTGCTGAATCTTCAACACTCCAGCCAATCACATTAGATGTTTAGAGTGCAGGTCCCGCCCCCGTCTGCCTCTGCCTGAGGGGTTTCAGTGAGTCGATGGCATTGATTTGTGTGTGTGTGTGTGTGCGTGTGTGTGCGTGTGTGTGCGTGTGTGAGTGTGTGTGTGAGTGTGTCGGAAGAATCAGAGATTCAGATTTAACAGTTGTACCCTCTGATGATCATCATAAGATGATCTGACCCCAGTGTTCACTGCAGACTGTGTTCCAGTGTGAACGGCTCCACTGATTATAGGACAGATTCAGGTTTTTGTTTAGACCTGTTGTGACTCTAGATGTTTATGTTTGGCAGTGGTGTAATGCAATGAAGTAATAATACTTTGTTACAGTACTTAAGTATTTTTTGGGAGTATTTGTGCTTTACTTGAGTTTTTATATTTCAGCCAACTGTTACTTTTACTCCACTACATTTCCTAATTAAAAAGTATACTTTTACTCCGATACATTTCCCCGAAGCATATGCGTTATTTACTACAAAATAGTCAGAAGTCAGAAGAACACGGACTGAAGGGAAGCAGGTTTGACGAATCAGTGGTCTGGCGTTTGCAAGTTAGACTTTTAAAAACACCTTTGCTCATGTGCAAAC